CGTTCACACCCAAAAAGAGACGCTCTTTCAAGTTTTTTTGCCATAGATAAGTCTGGGATCTCAAACAGGTCTTGGGAGTAGTCAAGGTCAATTGTCTTTAAATTCACAAGATTCTGTAACAAGAAAGAAATATCACATTGTTAAAAAATTATTATATTCATAATCGTGAGCTTCACTTGAGTTGAGACAGGACAAGAACAGTTACCACTAAGTACTCTCTCCCATACCTTTTACAAATTGAAAGAAAATGTAATATGTACGGCCAAATTCATACCTGAACCCCATCCCAGAGCTTTTTAAGCTTGCTATCCCACATGTGAAGCTCTACAAGTTGTTCGGCACAAAAGTTAGAAGGCAAAGACTTGAGACAGAATCCTTCCCACTCAAGGTACCTCAATTTATAAGACAATGACTCGAGACCATTAGGAAGGTACAAACTAAATTTGCGACCCCACTTTTGTCTATAAATTTTAAGAAATCTCATGTTAGTCATCCTTGCAAGGGAATCAGAGCTCAAATATAGATCGCCGGCTAATTTCTCCAAATCTAAAATTATGCCTTCAACAAAATCAGTTCCCTGACAAACAAAAAATTGAAATAATTAACAAGGTCAAACTAACTACATTCTAAAAAGATACATAATTATCCAATAGAAGCAATTGCATTTTTCACTTACCTTGTTATATTTCAAAACATGGTGCACTTCCTCATGTTTCCACAAACGACTTCGCCTTCCAAGATCTTTGATAGATTCTTCATGAACAATTTCCCAACCCATTTCTTGTATCAAGTCATGCATTTTTATGTGATTGCGATCTGAAACTGTTATGAGAGCTTTATCTAAAAGGACTTGTATCCCAGATGCTCCAAAGAAATCACAAGCTTCCAGTATACTTGTTAGCCTATCTCTTGCCCATCCTTTGAAAAAGCACGCAATGTCTAAAAAGATGTCCTTTTGAGAACGATCTAAGCCATCATAACTTAATTTTAGCACATTATAAATTTCCTTATTTGGAATCTTTCGGAGTTTTCTCAACTCACATTCCCATACCACTTTACTCTTTTTACGAAGACTTGCACCAAGGACTTTTAGAGCCAAAGGAATACCTTTGCAATAGGAAATTGCACTTATTGATAAGTCTTCATATCCCTCTTTAGATTGTTTTTCTCCAAAAACAGTCAAACAGAAAAGTTGAAGAGAGTGATGAGAGCTCAATTCCTGGACCTGATATATTATATCAACTAGGCTAAGTATTTGCTTATTTCTAGTTGTAACAATGACTCTACTTCCTGGTCCCAAGAAATCATATTCTTCGATTAATTTTTCTAATTGCTGTGAGGTAGCCACATCATCCAGGACAATGAAAACTTTTTTACGTCGAAGCCTACTCAAGTCAAAATTATCAAACCCATAATTTTTATTCTCTAACAACTTAGATAAAAGTTCATCACGTAAAGCTCCGAGCTTGTCTGATTTTTCCCTTACATTTGTGAGGAAACAACGACCTTCAAACTCATAAGACAGTTTTTCAAATAAAGCAGTAGCAAGGGTGGTCTTACCTATGCCACCCATGCCCCATATTCCAAGGGTTTTAACTTCACTTGACCCAATTTTTAGTAATGATTCAATTTGTTCATAACTTTCCTCAATTCCAACCAGTCCTTTAAGTTGGTTGGGGTATCTAGGAGTCAATTTTCGCAAAACATCATTAACAATGTCCTTAAGAAATTCAGACTCAGTCCTAGCAAATGAAAAGGGCAACAAAGAAACATGTGTTATTAGTCAACAAATGCAAGAGAAAAAAGAACCAGAACTATTGAAATGATTATACATAATATATGATGGATATGGTAGTTTAATAGAGAAAGAAACAATAAAGATATAATTGGGGAATGAAAATACAATGACGTAAAAGGAGATTATCAATGCCTGTTTTTTCTACGCAGCTAACCAAGCTAACTACCATGAAAGGTGTTATACTACAAAAGTATGCTCACATGCATAGTATTAGATGTTATCAAGTACACATATAGGACAATTAATGGATAAAATACAAATGTTAAAATTTACGAGATAAGAGAAGTCAGGGTATATTCAAATTGATTTTTTTTGTGAGAGAAAATAAATTTGAAATATTTTTCAAAAGTAAACTTTACAAATAGATGAGTAAAGTGCAATAAATTATCATGGCTTCTTTGTACATATTACTCCAATACTGTTTACATAATGAAAACAAAGTGAGAAGGCTGAGGGGAATTTTCCCAAACCATGTAAAGCCATTTTTTGTTACTAATTAAAAAAGAAGATTTAATACATCAGGAAGTCCTTGAGCTTTTTGGGAAATTTTAATTAAGTCCCTAAACATAAAACTTTTAATGGGGTCCTCTTCATCTATTACAATTTCTGTAATTGAATCCATAAAGTTAGTAAAACCACTACAAATTGTTATCTTTCTTACAGTTTTCAGGCATCATTAACTAACTTTAGGACTTGGTCCAAGAGACAAACAGAGGCATGACATTAATTGAAGCTCCTAAATCAAGCATGGCATTTTCAATTTACTGTTACCAATAATGCAAGGTACACAAAATGTACCTGGTTCCTTACACTTTTCTGGGATGTGTGGAACAGATTTACCTATGAGTGTTGAGACGTTTCTGCCTATGCTAATTCGCTCATTTCCCTTTAGCTTCCTCTTGTGGGTACACAACTCTTTCAGGAACTTAGCATATCTGAGAATTTTCTTGATGGCATTCAACAGAGGTATGTTCACCTCCACCTTCCTGAAGGTCTCCAATATCTTCTTATCCACCTCTTCCATCTTTTTGCTTGGAATTGATTTTGGTGGAAATGGAAGAGGGATAGGAGGCTGCTGCAGATCACCACTATGTGCACTGGAAGAAGGTCCACCTGTATGAGATTTTTTGCTACTACATGTAGGGGCTTCTTACTCAAGTGTAGGCTTAGGTGCAGGTGTAGGTACTGTACTGGTACTGGTATGTCAATTTGTTTTCCAAACCTCAAGGTCATGGAACTCACATTCTTTAGATTCTGCACAGTTTGTGAAGGTAACTTGTCTGAATTTTGGGATTGTGCCTGATTGAGTTGAGTTGTCATCTGACCCATCTGATTTGTCAAACTCTAAATGGAAGCTCTTGTCTCTTGCTGAAATTGCATGTTATAAATGGTCATCTACCTCACCAACTCCTCCAATGAAGGCTCAAAAGAAGTAGAAGGTTGAGCTGGTGGAGGTGCAGGTGTAGGAGGAGATCTCTATTGAGGAGGCTGGTAGAAGAACTAGAGGGATGATTCTGGAAGGGTGCTTGATTTTGCTGGTTCTGAGAATTTCCCCACCTCAAGTTGGGATGATTCCTCCAACCAAGATTGTATCTATTGGAAGACAGATCATAATTCTGTTGTTGCTAGTGTGGAGGTATATTGTTGTAAATGTTGGAAGTATATTCTTGTGGAGCATCAGGACCTGCAGAAGAGTCTTGCAAGGAGGGACAAGCATCTGTTGGATGATTAATTGAAGTGCAGATGCCACATACTTTTGCTGGTGCAACAGATTTCTGGCTTGTAGCAAGTTGGGAGACTAAGGCGGCGAGAGCATCAATCTTACTCTCCAGCTTCTTATGTTCTGGTGAATCAGAGGCTCCCACATCATGGACACCTCTCACAACTATGGCATCACTCCTCATATTAAATTGTTGTGAATTGGATGTCATTTTTTCAATTGGCCCCCTAGCAGAAGCAGGTGTCATATCTCCTAAAGCTCCTCCACTAGTTGCATCAGTTATGCTCCTGTCCATTATGTTCAATCCCTCATAGAAATACTGCAATAATAATTGCTCAGAAATTTGATGGTGAGGGCAACTAGCACACAACCTCTTGAATCTCTCCCAGTAATCGTATAAGCTCTCCCTCATGAGTTGCTTAATTCCATATATATCTTTTTGGATTGTAGTGGTCTTGGATGCAGGGAAGAATTTTTCAAGGAACACTATCTTCTAGTCATCCCAACTTGTTGTTGAACCAGGAGCCAGATAGTACAACCAATCATTGGCAAGATCCTCTAATGAAAAAGGGAATGCCTTCAGGTAGATGTGATCTTCAGGGACATTATGTGGCCTCATGGTGGAACAAACTATGTGGAACTCCTTGAGATGCTTGTGTGGATCCTCACCTGCACGACCATGAAACTTAGGCAACAAATGGACCAGTCCAGTTTTAAGCACAAAAGGAACATCTTCCTCAGGGTATTGAATTCATAAACTCTCATATGTGAAATCAGGTGCAGCCATCTCCCTAAGGGTTCTCTCTCAAGTTGCAGGTTGGTCACCCATGTTTTCAATTGAGTCAACTTCAGATGCTACACTTACACTATGGGTATCACTCTCAGAAGGTGGGACTATATGTTCTCTAACTAATCTAAGGAAGGTCCTATCTATTTCAGGATCAAATGGATGCAAAATGCCTGGATTATTCCTAGTCATGCACTACATGCAATCACATGCAACTACCACGTGAACAGTAGGGGGAAAATGGGAATTTTAATGAAAACTTGGAAACCATCAAAACCAATGTACCAATATCATCCTAACATCATTAGAAACTACCACAAAAAATTTCAAAGCAAAATTCAAAGTCTAACTATGTGAACCACCTATGAAAAGTTTGGAAAAATAGGGAAATAAAACTTCAAAATTAGAAGAAAAAAAATAGAAAATGACCTTTTTCTGAAAATATAACTGGGTCTACACGGCGTAGCAGTTTCTGTTTGATAGATCTCTTTTTTCTACTCAAAAAGCATATATAATTTGTCCAATTCTGATAACCAGAGCAAAAGTTATGGCAGTTTAAAGTTTTGCTGAAAACTAGTTTCAAAAATTTTTGTATCTCCAAATATGGACCACCTTGAGGGCCTCTGATATTTTTCACACAAAATATGGGTTGAAGGAATTTACCACACAAAATTTGAGGTAAAAATAACAAGTCTAGCTATCAAAACCAAAAATCACAATTAATTGGAAAATTCAGCTACTATTCAGGACTATTCACGCGCACCAAAATTGCACCAGATTTGCAACATTTTCACACCATTTCCCACAATTTTAGAACCCGAACAGAGGAGTAGTAGGGAGAGAAAATAGAGTGTACGGATTGAAAACAGAGCACACATGCACCAAAATAGAGCACCAAAAACACACCAAAACACAGAATTACCCTACTAACTCACTACACTTCGCAACGAACACACTAACATACACAAGCACGAACACGAACATCACACAAAACACATGAACATGAACCTTTGGCTGGAGCGTTGCTCCCCGGCAACGGCGCCAAATTTGATCGGTGTCGTACCCCGATCAAATAGAATAAGAAATTTGTAGTAGTAGGAAGTGACTCCTAGGTCATCTCTCAAGGAGCAACAAGCCAGTCTGAGGTCCTTTTAATGCAAAAACAAATACACACACTATAGGGGGATTTCAGATTCAAATGAATGAAACAGTAAATAATGAACAGTAAGCAATGGAACAGTGACTCTCCAACTCAGTTGTAGCATCATATCCTTAGTTTAAAATATTTTCTCACTGATCTAACCCTCTATTCAATCTGAGTAACCATTAAGCATCATTATCATCATTAAACCCATACATACAAATGAAGCATTAGCATGCATCTCTGCTCACAGGATTAAGCAAACAATGAGTAAAGAAAGGTGAACCAGTTAAGTGAAAACAAAACCATCAAGCATGGAAACAAGGCCAACACAACAGATTCATAAGGATTAAAAACGTAAGAACACCAGGAATGAATAAACCTCAATGAATGCATTTAACCGAGTTAGAGAGTATTACAATCTAGCCTTCCATGGAGGAAGACCAAGAAGAAGAAAAACAAAAAATAAGAAGAAGAGCTACAGAAAATAAGCTACAGCAAAAGCAAGCACAAATGTTGTCCAAAAATGGTGTTTCTCTCTATCTCGTTTTTCAGCCAAAAAGAAGTGGCGGCTCTGTGTCCCTCTTGTCCCCTCTAGTCTGACCTAATATTGATGCCTAGAGTGCATCTTGTCTCCCTACAAAATTGAGTGCCCTAGGTTAAGAGAGTGGGCTGGCCCAGTTGGCCCATCCAACAATAAAAATAAATGAAATTCCAATTAAAATTTATAATGGTGTTGAAGTTGGTCCATGTGGCAGGCCCATGTGGCAGTTCTCCCAGTCCAATAAGTGATTCCAAATCCTCTACAAAATAATTATGAAATTAATTAGGCTAATAAATCCAATTAACTAAAATTCCAAATTAATAGCCCAATAAACCTCAAGACAGTAAAATATGGCAAGAGAGAACAATTAAGCACTGATAATACTTAATAGGGGGTTACGAAGGTAAGAAAATGCATGGAAATTATGATTTATCACTAAGATATTAGAGCATCTAGAGCATACAATTTTTTAAAAGATTTAAGCATACAGGTATATTAGAGCATATTTTTTTGTGACCAAGAATTTTTTTTAAAGAAAGTTTGAGAAAAGGTTTAGATTTATCAAAGCTTAACAGATTTATTCGAACTTTTTTGATTTTTCAAAAACTTGGTTTTATCTTGATTTTAACCAAAACATCCAAAAGATTATAGCATTTGTAAAATGACTGAGACTATATGCTATGCTTAGGGTATTCCCCCTAAAAACATGCATGATGAAAATGTCAGAGCATTAAAGAATACAATATGTAATAGGAGTAGTTTATATGTTCTTGTATGTTGTGTTGCATTGTTGAGTTTATTTTGCATGTATATCCTTTGTGCATGAGTTAATCTTAATTTAGATTGACTAAGAGTGAGTATGATGATGATTTAAATGACTTGGAAAATTTTCTAAAGTGTGAAATTGAGTTTTTGAAAACTAACTCAAAGTAATCGATTATCATTAAATATAATTTATTATTCCAGCAAGAGGTTCAGGGAACCTTGCTGTAATAATCAATTATCTGAGAAATAATCAATTATTCAAGGAAGTACTCTCTAGAATAATCGGTTATCCTACAAAATAATTGATTATTCTATTCTTGAGTGATTTCCAGAACTCATGAAGAACAAAATATTCGATTATCCTTAAAAATAACCGATTATCTGGGTTTTGAAAACTTTATAAATAGTTTCACACTTTGAATCAAGTATAGAGAGATGAACTGAAAATAGAAAAGAGAAAAACTGATTTTGTGAAGTCTTTGTGACCTTCTTTGAGTGTTTTTTTTTTGAAAACAAGAAGAAAAACTTTTGTGAAATGCTTCGAGAGAAATCATAATCATCACTACATTCTTGGAAGAGAAGGATTAAGATTTGTCAAGAATTCACAGTCTGGTTTATTCAGCTTCCAGGTGAATTCATTCTTTTAATTCTTTGTGTAATGTGTAAAGAAATCTTGAGTAGGTGTCTCAAGTGGTAAGGAATTCTTTTAGTGGGTTTCTACAAGAAG